GAATTTTTTATATTCAAATTTTTTTCTAATCTATAATCAAAATCATAAAAGTTCATTGAGATATTTAAAATTTAATTGTTTTATTAATTTATTTGAGATTTTCATTAAAAGTTAACATTTATAATAATATATTGTTTTGTCAATGTAGGACTAAAATGGATTAAATGAAAATTATATAGATCACAAAAAAGTGACTAAAATGAAAAGGAATTTAGGGATTAATTTGAAAAGTGATCAAAGAAATAAATTTTGCACATTAAATTTACCAAAAGTTTTGGGAATCTTATTTCTTTTATTTTTTTGGTTGAAACAGGTAAAAATGGGTTGCCTAGCTGCCTGTTCTATCAACAATTAATAACTCCTCAGCTTCCTTAGGGTAATTTTGTAGAAATATTGTGTCTTCCTAATACTTCCATATATGTTTGGCGACGAAATCCGCGACGCGATTGACCTCTCTAGGTATGTGTTTCAGATCAACCACCCAATTTCTATTTAAAAGTCTCTCAATGTGTTGCAGAATAGTTAGCTTTCTATGTTCAATCGATTTGTTCTTGATAAGGTTGACAGCTTCTTTATTATCATATTCCAAAATCACGTTCCTTTCTCCCCTCATCGGAGCAATATTTAAGCCCTTATTTATACTCCACAGTTCTACTTCCAAGATAGAACAAATCCCTATTTTTCTACCAAAACCCTATCGCCAGTTTCCATTATAATCTCTTGCAACTACCCCACACATAGCTTCTCCAGTGTTCTGTCGCTTGGTTCCATCTGTGTTTATCTTACAATAACTTATATATAGTTTCTGCCATTTGCACCGGATGATATTTCTGGTTTGGGTGCTACTAGAATTGGAATTGGTAATTTATTAGTTCTATAATTATTGGGTAAGTCTTTTAGCTTGCTGAATAATTGATTCCCTAATCATTTATGGGTTAAAGATCGCCTGGTTTCTTTTCTTCCAAATGTACAAGATTACTGAGCTGAAGAAGGTATGCCAATTCTCAACTATTGGCGAAGAGGATTGGGTTACTTCAAGGTTCTCGATGATCCACTCCTTAATATTGTTGCTCAGGTATTTATCCATATTCTGGGGATCTATCAGGTCTGCCCATATCGACAAGGTTTTAGGACAAAATCTCAACATATGGTTAATGTCTTCTGTCTCGTAATTGCACATAGGGCAGTTTTCATCCATCGTCATATTCCTGTGTGCTCTTTTCGAGTTGGTCAATATTCTATTTCTTCCAATGAGCCATAGAAAAGTTTTGATCATGGGAATGTTATTTTGTTTGGCAATGATGCACCAAATCTTCTCTTCCATAGAATTATTGATATTTGTTATCCACTTGTATGCATATTTGACTGAGAATACCCTTTTCTCCGAGGGGATCCAACCCGGAGAGTCCGCAAGGTTTTCTTCCACTGAAGGTGGTGTGGCTTTCAACTTATTAATGACTTGATCTGGAAGTAGCATTGTAAGTTTGCTCGAATCCCAGGTACCATTCTGGTTAATCATCTCCTTTACTTTAGACTTGTCATTCTCCACTTCCATTGGTTGCTTGCATAATCTAGATAGATGGCCTTTATTATCTAACCATATGTCATGCCAGAATTCAACATATTTTCCATTTCCAATATTCCAACATATATTCTGTTTAAACTTTGGCCATAATAAGCATATGTGATTCCATAAAGGCGATCATCCCATTTTTTTTAGCTCATCTGGTAGTATCTCTTTTATCTTGTATTTGTTTCTCATCACTTGCACCCATAAAATATCAACTCTATTAGTAAGTTTGTAAGCTAGTTTAAAAATGAAAACCTCATTTTGGGTCCTTAGGTTCTTTAAGCCTTATCCCCCTCCTTTGATCGGTTTACAGAGAGTATCCCAGCTCACAAGATGTATTCCCTTATGATCATTTATATTCCTCCAAATAAAATTCCTGGTTAGTCTTTCAATCTCATTGCACGTTCTTTTGGGAATTAGGATTGATTGCATGGTGTATGTAGGAATTGAATTGAGGATCGATTTGGCAAACATAATTCTTCCCGCTAGAGATAATGATTTAGATTTCCAACCTGAGAGTCTGTCTTTTACTCTTTGGATGCTGCTGCTACAATTCTTTTGTTGATCCTGTTATGCAGCAGGGGAACTCCCAAGTAATTCTCAAGATTCTCGACTTCTTTGATACCAATCATATTTGTTATAGTGTTTCTGGTATGGGCATTAACATTGTTGGAATAGTAGATGTTGGATTTTTGTAGGTCAATTTTCTGACCCGAGCTGCTACAGAATTTTTTGAGTATGCTCTGAATAATTCCAATTTGAGAGCTGTAAGCTTCCGCAAAGAGGATGAGATCATATGTAAAGAAAAGGTGAGAAATGCAGGACCATTTCTAGACAGTTTAATTTGCACCTTCCTTGTTCCACAGTTGATGCAATTTCTTGTGTTAACCTTTCCATGCAGATGATAAAAAAGGTAAGGCGAAAGATGTTATATGTTCATTATGACCAAAATAATCTTATTTGGAAGCCCCAACTTCTCGATGATATCCTTAATAAAATTCTATTCCAATCTGTCATATGTTTTTCAAGGTCAATTTTGATGGCCAACCACCCTTTTTTTCCTTCATTTTTCTTCATAGAGTGAATAACTTCTTATGCTAGGATAATGTTGCCAGTAATAACCTTGCCCGGTATAAAGCTCGTTTGGCTATTGGAGATGACTGTAGGAAGAATAGGTTTAAGGTAGTTTACAATAACTTTAGTAATAATTTTGTAGGTAACCTGAAAAAGGCTTATAGGTCTAAATTGAATAATTCTCTTAGGATTATCCACCTTGGGGATTAAGACCAGACTCGTTCTGTGTAAAGCTTACTCAATCTATCCACCAATAAGGCAATGTTTGACTAGAGAGTGAACCTTTTCCCTAACAGTGTCCCAATTATTTTGGAAGAAGTTAGCATGAAACCCATCAATTCCGGGAGCTTTGAGAGGACTCATACTGAATATAGTCTTTAATCTCATTGTTATCAAAAGGTTTGTCGAGCTAATCCCATTGATCTCAATTCAAGTTAGGAAAAGACCTATAATTATCAAGAGATTGCCTGATCAAAGGGTCACTAGTGAACAACTTCTCATAGAACTCGTTGACATGTTTTTTAACCATATCCTGATCATCGCACCAAGTATCATAGTCTATTTTAAGAGCTGTTATAAGCTTTCTTCTACCTTTAGTTATCGCACATGAGTGGAAGTATTTGGTATTTTTGTCTCTGTGATTAATCCACCGCATCTAGCCCTTTGAGCCTAAAGTAGTTCTTCGTGCCTTAAAATAATGTCAAGTTCAATTTTGAGTTTAGACTCAAGAGTCGCCAATCTAATAGAGTTGTAGATGTGTAATGCTTTATCAATTCCTTTCAGTCTAGCAACTATTCTTTTTTGTTCTTCTGATTGATGCTACAAAAAGTTTCACTATTCCAAACCTTGATGCTTTGCTTGATATGGTTGAGGCTCTTATTAGGCTATCATGTTTAACCCATTCATCTTTAAGGAAATGATCAAAGTCTAGGTGATCCATCCAAGCTGCGAGAAATCTAAAAGGTTTAGTATATAGAAGAACAGGACAATGATTAGATCCAATTCGGTCAAGATGATGCACTCTAGTATCTGGGTATAATTCTAGCCACTTCATATTCATAATGCACCTATCAAGTCGTTTCTATAGGTTACCTCGTCGCCAAGTAAAATCATCCCCTTGGTATTTAACTTCTATCAATTCATTGTTGAATATGAAATATTGGAAGTGTTTACTCCCTCCTCTATAACGATTGCTTCCACCAACTCTCTCTTCGGGTCTCAGAATGCAATTAAAATCACCTCTTAGAATCCAGGGTTCATTATTGCAAGGCTTAAGTTTATCCAGAAGATCCCATAACTTATACCGAATGTTAGGGTTGGGGCTAGCATAAACTGATGTAAAGTAGTTCCAACAGTTATTGTTAATACATTTAAAGCGTGCATGGACATATTGATTGGAAATACTTAACATCTTAACTTCTACTGAATTATCCCAAAGCACCCAGATGCCTCCACTGTGACCCTGAGCTTCAATTATGAAAGAGTTAATATAATCCATATTATTAATGATTTTATCTTCTCTTCTACCACTTGTGTGAGTTTCCATTAGAGCAATGATCTTAGGCTTGTGAATAGTCACATAGTCTTTGAAATGTCTTTTAAAAGAAGGTTTATCTACCCTTGGGTGTTCCAAAACAGAATCTTCATATTTATTGAGATAGAGGATAGATACTCTTTGACAACTCCTTTTCCTTCTATTTAACTTCTTGAATCTGGCTCTGATCAATTTACTCTACCATTTGGACTTGGTTAGTTGTAGGAGTGGTGTTTTCAGGAGGGGCCAAGTTCTCCGAATTCATGGTGTTTTCTTGGATCCATTTTGAAAGAAAATGAATGTTAGGAATGATAGGAGTTTTAGATTTTCTGACTTTAAGGCCTTTTTTGTAATGCGAGAAATTTGGTTTGGCTTCCTGTTGAAATTCCATCTGGAAGTAGGATTCCGGTTGTTATCATCTTCTTGAATGGATATAGTTGTATATGTTCCATCTCCCACAGTTAAACTATGTTCACTGATTCGAACGTCTTCCTTTTCCATGACTTGAATTTTTCCTATATTCAGTTCCTTAGTATGGTCTTTACCCACTACCATTTCTCCGTCAGTAATAGGAACATCAATTAAGATGTTATTGTCAACTTCAAGACTGATGGGAGCATCTCTCTTCTGGGTTTGGTTTGTATTTACTTCTGCCTGGGTTAATATGTCTTTGTTTCTCGTTATTTCTCTATCTCTCATTCTGTTTTTCATCTGGTTCTTTGATGTGTTTGTTTTTGTAGCAGGTATTTGTATATCAGTTTCCCTACTTAAATTTTGATATTCTTTATTTCTATCCCTAGGTTCTTCCTCCAACGGTTCTTCTTAGAGTGGAGCAAATCTAGATCCTTGTTTTGGTGTTCCTTCTAATTCTTTGTTTTTAATTTGAGTTCTTTGATATCTACTTCTTCTTCCTCTTGGTTGAACAACCATCCAAGGGCCAAAAGGGTTTTCTTTGCTATTTTTAAAATTTGATTGTTCTTCAATAACATGGCTAGTGTTAGTAATTTCCATCTGCTTTTCTTTTTGATTGGTTTGATAGGCTTCTTTTGCATGCCCATAGGTACCACATTTGAAGCAGATTTGTTGCAGACCTTCATATTCAATCTTTTGGATAAAATCGCCAATTCCCATGCATGGAGTAAGAGGCTTATTCAGATCAATTACTACTGCAATTCTAGCAAATTTTCCCCTCTCTCCAACTTTGGTATTGTAATCAATTTTGACGACTCTTCCAATCGTATTCGGAATTGTCCTAATTAGCACAGTATTGTAATACCTGTAAGGTAGATCAGGTAGGCGCAGCCAAGAATTGACTTGTGAAGGATGTTTTTCAGATGTGGTAAAGTTCCTCGACCATGGTTGAACTGTCAGGTAACTTCCATAAATCATCCAAGCACCATCAGTGAGAACTCTCGTATAATCCTCAAGATTTTCAAATTTCACTAAGTAGTAGTTGTTATCAAGATCTATCAAATTGAAATTGCCTATCGGCTTTCATAACGCATGAATCCTATTTATCAGAGCTTTATATCCTATATTCTTTCCCAGCAGTCTAGTGATAATAACTTGCTTCATGTTTCGTTCAATCAAGTCATGAATTCGCTTAGAGAAGCTTATTTTAGGATAATCTCCAGAATTGTCCATGGTGACATCTCCTTCTTGGAAAACTATTTCTTCTTCAGGCATCTTGACGGGGGGATTTTTGTTCATAGTTGATCCACCGGCAGCCATGGCAGCATATGAGATTTTCTCAGGACTCATAGGGCGTTCTTTGGTCGCAGCAACTTCATCTTGAGATTCATCTTCAGTTTGCATGTTTTCCGTTTGTTGAATTGTTTCATTATCTTCAATTGTTATTTCTCAATTCTTTACTTTCTTTGTGACTCTTTGTTCTTCTTGGACGCTATCGATGCTCATCTTGAGTATCTTGCTAAGAGATCTAGTGTCTCATCCCATTAGAAGTAACAATCTGAGACGAAATCAATCCTGAGAAAATCAAACAAAGAAGTTTGGAATCTTATTTCTTTTACAAGTTCATTTGTATCCCCAAGTAAGGCACCGACGAGAATATAGATATTCCAATAACAACAAAAAGAACTAATTTACGAGACTGACTGAGAATTAATGGTCATGACATCATTCTACTCCAAATTCATTGGAATTCAATCCTGTTATGTATGGCTCATAAAAAGTCTCGTTGTGGGGTTACGAATTATGTGGGTTGGGGGTGTGGGGGCGCAGCCCCCCGCGGTACGGTACAGGGTTGATTTTGTAATTATGTACCAGGGTTTTCTATTATAAATAGAGATGTAACCTAGACCTAAAAAGATCATTGAATAAAACTTCTAGCGCCGCCTAGGCACCGAGGACGTAAGCACATTGCCGAACCTCGTAAAATTCTCGTGTTCTTTCGTTTTCTTTACCCGTTTTCGTCAACAATTGGTATCAGATGTCAGGAGCAAAATTCGAAGTCGCGAAATTCGATGGTCAGGGTAACTTCGGATTATGGCAAACGAGGGTGAAGGATCTATTGGCGCAGCAAGGGATCTTGAAGGCTTTGCGACCTACAAAGCCGGCGTCGATGGATGAGGAAGATTGGGAAGAATTACAGCAGCGAGCGGCAGGAACCATACGATTATGCTTGGCGGACGAGGTCATGTATCACGTCATGCATCTATCGTCTCCAGACGAAATTTGGAGGAAGTTGGAAAGTCAGTTTATGTCCAAATCCTTAACGACAAAACTGTATCTGAAGCAGCGGCTGTATGGGCTGAAGATGCAGGACGATCACGATTTGGCGCAACACGTGAATGTCTTCAATCAAATCGTTTCTGATCTGGCTCGGCTTGATGTGAAAATTGAGGATGAAGATAGAGCGATGATTCTGTTGTGTTCGTTGCCTTCCTCTTACGAACACATGGTGACTACTCTTACATATGGGAAAGAGACTATCAACGTTGAGGAGATTACTGCAGCCTTGTTGGCTCACAACCAGCGGAAGCAGAATGCAGGGGAAAGCTCTCAAGCCGATAGCTTATATGTCAAGGGTAATCGAGATCGTGGACGGAAGCCAGAGAAGGCAGGGTCCGGGAAGCGGAATTCCAGATCCAAATCCAGGGATAAGAAGACGATTCACTGTTACAAGTGCAAGGAGGCGGGACATATGAAGCGAGACTGTCCGAAGTTGAAAAAGCAGACCGATGAGAAGCGTGATGGCTCATCCAAGTCTGTGATGGTTTATTTGGGTGATGATCGATGTTGCAATATTGTTGGTATTGGTGATGTCAGAATTAAGATGCACGATGGCTCCGTTCGGACGTTGAGTGGTGTTCGACATATCCCAGACTTGAAGAAGAATTTGATTTCCTTGGGCACTTTGCACAAGAATGGTTTTATCCCTAAGGCTGACGAGGATAGGGAAACCATTCGGATTGTTAAAGGAGCATTGACTGTGATGAAAGGCAAGATGACTGCAGGGAATATCTACAGATTGTTAGGGAGTACCGTTGCAGGTGGAGTTCACTCTGTTGAGTCCTGTGATGATACGACAAAATTGTGGCATATGCGTCTTGCTCATCTTAGTGAACGTGGTATGGCAGAATTACACAAGAGAAACTTGTTGCATGGTGTCAAAAGCTGTAAGCTCGACTTTTGCAAGTATTGTGTTCTTGGTAAACAGACTAAAGTCCGTTTCAAGACTGCGAAGCACACAACTCAAGGGATTCTTGATTATGTGCATTCTGATGTATGGGGGCCTTCCACGACATCGTCTTTGGGTGGATCTAGGTACTATGTTACTTTTATTGATGATTTTTCACGGAAAGTTTGGGTGTATTTTTTGAAACAGAAATCTGAAGTTTTTGAGAAGTTCAAGCTGTGGAAAACTGAGGTAGAAAACCAAACAGGACGAAAAATCAAGTGTTTGCGGTCTGACAATGGTACGGAGTACACAGATTCACAGTTCCTACAATTCTGTAAGGAACATGGGATTCAGAGGCATTTTACAGTGCGCAAGACACCACAACAGAATGGTGTTGCGGAACGAATGAACAGGTCGTTGAATGAAAGAGCCAGATGTTTGCGGTTGAATGTGGGGCTTCCCAAACACTTCTGGGCTGAGGCTGTTAACATGGCATGTTACCTTATCAACAGATCGCCAAGGGCATCGCTGGCTGGGAAAGTTGCAGAAGAGGTATGGACTGGTCATGATGTTAGTTTTGATAACTTACGGATTTTTGGTTGTCCTGCTTATGTGCATGTACCTGCTGATGAGAGATCCAAACTTGATGCAAAATCGAAGGAGTGCATTTTTCTGGGTTACAAGAAAGGTGTCAAAGGATTCAAGTTCTGGGATCCAGTTGCGAAGAAAGTTGTGATTAGTAGAGATGTCGTTTTTGATGAACAGTCTATGTTGCAGCAGAAGCAAGACACGACAGTGGTAGATTTCGAGCAGTTTCCAGTTGAGAAACCAGAAACTTCTCAACCGACTTCTGGTGGTTCCACTACGGATGATTTGCAGGATTATAGTCTCGCCAGAGACAGGGTGAGACGGACGAATATAAAGCCTCCGAACAGATTGGGTTTTGAAGACTTGGTATCTTTTGCACTTACTGTTAGCAGTGATGATCCAGTTACTTTTCATGATGCTGTTACTAGTCAGGAAAACGACAAGTGGATGGCAGCCATGGTTGAGGAGATGGAGTCTTTGAATCACAATCGCACATGGGAGTTAGTTCCCCTTCCTGAGGGTAAGAAGTCGATTGGTTGCAAATGGGTGTATAAGAAGAAACCAGCAGTAACAGAAAAAGAGGGGGAGAAGTTCAAGGCTCGTTTGGTAGCGAAGGGTTTTTCACAGCAGAAAGGAGTTGATTATGATGAAATCTTTTCTCCTGTGGTCAGGCACACTTCAATCCGAGCAGTACTTGCATTGGTGGCTAGTTGGGATTTGCATTTAGAGCAGATGGATGTTAAAACTGCTTTTTTGCATGGTGATTTAGAGGAGCAGATCTACATGCGGCAACCTGAAGGTTTCACTCAACCTGGAAATGAGCATTTAGTTTGCAGATTGAAGAAATCTTTGTACGGGTTGAAACAGTCTCCGAGACAGTGGTATAAACGGTTTGACTCCTATATGATCAAGATTGGCTACAACCGATGTGAGTATGATTGTTGTGTCTATGTTAAGAGCCTTGATGATGGTTCTTTTATTTTTCTATTACTGTATGTTGATGATATGTTGATTGCTGCGAAGAACATGGATGATGTTATCGGTTTGAAAACTTTATTGAGTCAGGAATTTGATATGAAAGATTTAGGTGCTGCAAAGAAAATTCTTGGAATGGAAATTTGCAGGGACAGAGACTCAAGGAAATTGCGGCTATCTCAACGGGGTTATGTTGAGAAAATGCTAGAAAGGTTTGCGATGAGCAGCGCGAAACCAGTTAGCACTCCATTGGCGAATCACTTTAAGCTCTCATCAGAACAGTGCCCTAAGACAGATAAGGAAGCTGAAAATATGGCAAAGGTTCCGTATTCTAATGCTGTTGGCTGCTTGATGTATGCGATGGTATGTACTCGTCCTGATTTAGCTCATGCTGTTAGTCAAGTTTGTAAGTACATGTCTAAACCTGGTAAGCAACATTGGGATGCAGTCAAGTGGATCTTTCGGTACTTAAAGGGTACTGTGGGACATGGAATTGTTTTTGTGAGTCAGCGGGATAATCCTTTGGTTGTAGGATATGTGGATTCAGATTATGCAGGTGACTTGGATAATAGAAGATCTACGACAGGGTATGTGTTTACTCTTGGTGGAGGGCCTATTTGCTGGAAGTCTACTGTTCAATCTGTCGTGGCACTATCTACAACTGAAGCTGAATACATGGCAGCGGCTGAAGCTGCAAAAGAAGCTTTATGGCTTACTGGTTTAGTGAAGGAGTTGGGTGTTCAACAAGGTGGAGTTCAGTTGCTTTGTGATAATCAAAGTGCTATTCACTTGGCTAAGAATCAGGTGTATCGTGCTAGAACTAAACATATTGATGTAAGGTTCCACAAGATCAGAGAGTTGGTTGCATCTGGAGAGGTTTTGTTTCAGAAGGTACATACTGATGAGAATGCCGCTGATATGTTCACCAAGCCAGTTACGACAGACAAGTTCAAGCATTGCTTGGACTTGTTGAATGTTTCGAGTTGTTAAAGAAGCAAGGTAACCCAACCCACATTGAAGTTTCCAAGGGGCAGGATATTCACCAAGGTGGAGATTTGTTATGTATGGCTCATAAAAAGTCTCGTTGTGGGGTTACGAATTATGTGGGTTGGGGGTGTGGGGGCGCAGCCCCCGTGGTACGGTACAGGGTTGATTTTGTAATTATGTACCAGGGTTTTCTATTATAAATAGAGATGTAACCTAGACCTAAAAAGATCATTGAATAAAACTTCTAGCGCCGCCTAGGCACCGAGGACGTAAGCACATTGCCGAACCTCGTAAAATTCTCGTGTTCTTTCGTTTTCTTTACCCGTTTTCGTCAACAAATCCCATAACTTCAATAGGATGCTCTTCCCACCTCCATCGATGCTGTCTCCAAAAATGGGGAGCTGACAGTTCAACTTGATCAAACAAACCAAGCTGCTCAATCAGTTTCTTGAGCAGTTGACCAACTACGTACGAGATGCCAGACACCGTAATCCCCAGGCCGATGTAATATGACAAAGATCGGAAGTAAGTTCGATGTGGTCTTTGAACATGGCCTTTACCGAGTGCCAGCAAAAAGATGCATATTAGAGAAGCGCCAGCAACTGCTGCGAGCTTGAGGTCTTTA